CATTTCTTGGCTGGCGCTGTGCTCGTTCCTGATGTCTCATGAGATTGCCAGTGCACAGAGCATGTGGACTGGTTTGGAATGGGATCAAGTTAACTTTGTGTGGTGTGGTTTTGGATTTGTGACCAAAGCAATGTGGTGACTGGCTCAAACACAGCTAGGCAGTGAGTGCACAAGTGTCAAGGCCTTTTCTGCTCCTCACCCCAGCACCAGTGAGCAGGCTGGGAGACACAGGATGCTGGGAGGGGACTCAGCCAGGACAGCTGACCCTGGGATCTTACACTCCTTAGTATGTCTGCTCAGCAACACAGCTGCAAGCTCTTGCTGCTCCTGCACTGGTGAGGCATCAGGTGGCTGATAGTTGGCCACTGTGGCCATTTGCATCACTTGTTTGGKTTTGTTTTCCTTCTCCATAGAATCACCAAGGTTGGAAGAGACTTTGAGATCATCAAATCCAACTGTCAATCCAGCAGTATCATCGTAATCCCTAAACTATATATTTATCCCTAAATATCACCCAGATATTAAACTGTCTCAGCCCATGGGGTTTGGTGCTGTCATCTACTGAGCTAGCTGTGATATCCTAAGCGTGTTATATCCAAGATCCATTCAATGTCGATCAGCATTCCCAATACCACTGACATAAAGACCTGCTCAAGCTTGGTTCCCACCACTGCCCTGTCAAGCTCTCAGCCATAACTCACAGCAACCCCAGGTGTGGGGAAGACCTGAAGACTCAGCATAAGTTAAAAAAATATTGCMGTTGCTTCTGATCTTGAATTGATCACTTTGACTGGAAGTCAGGGAGGTTACTTGTTTCATCAGGAGAGATTACAGTCAGTCTCACTGGGTGCATGTTAATGTTTTGAGGATCTCTGCAGAAACTTGCTGCTGTTGTTAGGTAACCTGTGAGCTATTTTACGGCTAAGGCTGCCAGGTCTGTTTTTACTCAAGTAAGTGATAGAAATGCCTGGCTCAGCACAGTGTTTAGAAAAGTTTGGATAGATCAAATAAATTACACCTGTTACAGCTGCCCAACCTACTGGTTATGGTCTAGGATTTTCAGTGCAGTGGAAGTAACTGCAGCCCAGGATCATTTGGGAAGGCATTGACAAAATTTGGTAGAAGGAGTAGGACAAAATACGCACTTGCCATCTGCACCTACCTGAGACRTCTGTCTGGGTAGGGAGGGTTAGAATGTAACAGCGAGAGTAACAGCTGTGGCCAGGGGCTGTTGTCAGCTCCAGATCCACTTYAAGCTATTGTAAAGGCCAGGTAGAACAAGCATTAAACTGACAGCTTGGCCAGAGGCACCAGGATGTCTTGAAACAGCTTTGGTTAGAATTGACATGGACCAGCGCATCACCTTTATTTTGACCCAGCTTATAATTGAAAAGATCTGTTTTGATCAAACGATGAATTTTAGTTTCAGGAGGTCACATYATGTCTTCTTTACTCGGGCTGGGTAAACCTTTGCTGTGAAAGAAGATGCATTAGAATTAAGAGGCACTTTTGAGATKAGGTGKTTTTTTTTTTTTTTAAAAAAAAAAAGTCTATTTGAGCCAGTGGCCCTTTGTAGGGATAATGGTGCCATATAAGCCTTGGAAATCAACAGTATCCATCCAACTGGCTTCCCAACCACTCTTGCCTACCATAGGGAGGACAATCTGATGTTTCTTGTTCATTACCAGAGTGTCCTGGGCTGGGATGCTGGCACGTAGGTCTGCTACATTCCTTTCTGCTGTGACATGGAGCCTTTGCAGGCCTGGGACTATGTCTTTGTCATTTTACATTAGGCAACAAGTGCCAAATAGCTGCACTCAGTGACGGTTTGCCACATCCACTTTTTTTTAATCTCCCTTATCCTTTTTGTTTGGCAATGACTGGTTTTCCTTCCAGTTTAATGGTTTGATTAGGCAACAATGTCRGAGGTGCTTGAGAGCATGTTGATAAACAAAGCAAGCAAAGCACAAGCCTAGTTGAAAATTCCCCTTCGTGCTGGCACTGCAAACAGCAGAGATCTGGATGGGGGCTAGTGCCAATCTCTAATGCATCCCTAACATGCTGCTTTCAGGGCTTGGAGAATGTTGGCAAAAGAAAAAAAATGCTTTATAAAGGTCATTGGTGATAGCAAGGTAGCACTGCGATAATTTTTTAATGTGATATTAATATAATAGGCATTGATACTTAATCAGTACCCTGGCATTAGTCACCTGGCCTTGCTCTGCTCCTCTTTTGTGGGTTCTTCAGAGTGTTTGATTTCCCCTCGTGTTTGAACAAGTGATGCCAAAAGGGTTTGTGGGCAGGTGAGATGTTGTGTAGGGCACCTGACTTCTCAGGGACTGAGAAGAAACTGAGGATGCTGGTAATACTTCGTGCAGACTGCACTCAGGGAGAGAGTACTCCAGGGATGATCCTCCAGCACCTCCTCCCAGTGTGCCATCCTCCATGGAAAAGGAAGACTGAATGTATTGCAGCACTTGATGGCATCTTGACATGAAAAGCATTTGGATTCTGAAAGATTTGGGTGCTTTTGCATGCTGTTAATTTGCACTGTTTGGTAAAAAGAGGGAGAAAAAAAAGGTAGATAAGGGAAAAAAAGTCCTAAGAACAGATATTAAAGTAATGGGCAAAAAGTAGATCTCCAGAGAGCCTAACAGGATTATAAGAATGAGGAAAAATTACTTTTTTGCCTGTTGAATGATTGTTGCTATGCTGGTCTGTGTGGTTTCGCCTCTCTCTGAGGTCTTACCCAGGAAGTTCCTACTGTTGTTTGAAGGAATTGTTATGGGTCAAGTGTTGYACCTGACATTGTTGACTCAGGTGTTGGTGCAATGTCTGAAAGAAAGCTGGTTTCCCTAAATCCTAAAGGAAGTGAGAAAGTGGGCTCCCTGGTCAGATTGTGCAGGTCCAGGAAGCTCTGTGATCTGGGAATTGTCTGCTTCTTTTCTGGATGAGAATAATAGTTTACCTACCCCTCTAGGCTTTCTGCCCTCAAGGGACTCAAACTGAAATGCAGTGAGCATCTCTTCACTTGTGGCTGCAGCTTGCCGCTCCCTCTACATGCGCTTATGGGTTTATGAGAGAAGCCAGGTTAACATTCTTTCCCATCCTTAAATAAAAGCTATTTGTTGACCCTGGCAAATTGACTGTTTTGAAATGGTGCCTTTCAGCTAGTTGTGCTACCACCACTGAGGAAGCAGCAAACAGAGGCATAAAAGCAGAAATCAGCACGCTGGTGGGAGTTCTAGGGCAAGAGCTTCATATGGTAATTATGGTCCCCAGGCCAGTTTATTGTAAAGATAATTACCCTAATGAAACTGGCCTGAGATGAGGCAGAAGCCTGGACTCTGGGGAAAGCAGTTGATACCACYGGAAGAGGGAGTTCTTTAGAAGTTGTGATTCTGTGCAGAGATAAACCCAAAGATATAATTGTGTTCTACATACTCACATAAGCCCCATTGTCATCCCTGTGCCCATGTAATTATTTTCTTGAGCTGAGTCTTGCGCTGTGGATAATTGCAAACACTCCTCCGTGGCTTTTATTTTGATCCACATCTTCTGTAATATCTTTCTTTTTGAAGCGTGTGATAAGAGGTTGTCAGGTAAAATTAATTTTACTTTCATGACATCATTAGGTAGTACGTCTCCCGTTGCAGCATTCRCTTTCAGAAGAATAAAGGGAAGACGGAAGAAGAGTAATTGTTGTTTCATCAGATTATGTATTAGTTCAACCAGACTAATGCACTGTAATAATCTAGACAAGCTCTATAATTGGAGAAAGTTGAAACAAGCTTTTATCTATTCATGTGCTCCAGCTCTAAATTAATTTCACATCTAAGCCATTAAGCAAAAAAAACCCAACAAAAACCCAACCAACTTAAACCAAAACAACCAATCAATAAGAAGCAGGTCTTTGTTCGTTAAAGATATCTTTAAAATTAGATTGTTTAGCGAGATGGGTGCATCTCTTTTTTTTCAAAAGCTTGGGACTGATCTTTGTCTCATTTTGTAAAATGTGCGCCGGGGGTGAGAAGTCAAAGTCATTGATACTTCTTACAGAAGCCCCTTTTTAGTGCACCTAATACAGAGGAACAGGATTTCGCTTGGGGGTCTATAACAAGGGACGGTGCTCTCTGAGTTATGTTAGGAAGGAAAATGGAGCTTTGAATATGATTCTTTGAATTCTCCCTTGCCTCTGACCAGCATAGCTTAAAAGCTCRGAAGAGGAGAGGGTGAATCAAAGCTCTGCTCACTTTCTAGACCTCTCTAGTTGTTCAGCTCCTACCTGTGTATAAAAGGGGAGTGACATGCCAAAAATCCTGTTTTCCCTGCTGTTCTTCAGGGTGATTCACACCGCAGGAGCTACCGTAAAGAAAATTAACTCTATCCCRGCGAAAAACAGTCCAAAACCCTGTGGTGCATATTCTACAGCTAGTCGTGGCTTATTACAGTCCRTCATGCAGGGAAGCATTCAGCCTTTCTTGCTAATAGGATCTTTCTAGGAAAATAAACATATAAATGAGCAGATTATTGTGACACAGGTAATTTGCTGACTGCTGGCTCTGATCTCTCACACTGGTTTTATGTATTAAAGGAAAATCAGTGCAACATCTACTTAGTTGTGAGGGGGTTTAATTTCTGATGATCACCTTATATTCTGAGGTACAACAATTGGCTGTTTCTAGAACCTGTATAGATGTGTTAACTTAAGTGTCCAAGAGATTTCATTTACTATTTTGTGATTTTATACCTTGTACTGCTTCTTAACAGAAACTCAAAATATGCTGCTTCATGTAACAGCACTGTGTATATGTTTGCGTGCACTTCGTGAATATTTTGCCAGCTTCTTAGAGGTTAGCTGCCTTTAACCATCATGTCATTAAATATCCCTACAGAGAAAATACTAAGGCTTGTCCATGTTCACTGATGCAGAATAATTTTTAAATCAGTCTGACTTAATTATTTTGATACACTTCCTTTTTGTCTCCATGTTCCTTCAGGCTTCCGACTTGATTATCACCCCAGCTACGACCTTCAAGGAAAAACCTGACCCCACTGGTTTGGTATTTGGAACTGTGTTCACGGATAATATGCTGACAATTGAATGGTCCTTGGATTCAGGATGGGAGAAACCCTATATTAAACCACTAGAGAACCTCTCATTACATCCAGCCTCCTCGGCTCTGCATTATGCTATAGAAGTGAGTAGTAAATTGATTTGGAAACCACTGTTTTGTTTTATTAGCTCTGGAAGCCACAGCTTTGTAATATGAGGACTATTACTGCCTCAAATCCATTAGTATTGAGTTACATTGTATTAACTGGTGTTATTCCAGAATAATTGCGTTATTCACAACAGGATTTTGTATAACACACGAACAGCTGTGGCCTGGGGTTTCCAGCCCACTGAAAGTCCTAGCCTAGGGAAGGTGAGCTCTTCCTTGTATGGTGRTAAATTTATTTGAGAAACCATTCTTGTTCACTGACAGTGGGTTGGTCCAGTTACTGTCTCTGTGGCAGTGAAGGATTGTCTAAGACTGAGATTCTGGGAGTAGCTGTAATTTGGGAACTGAACGTGCACTTTGTGAAAGTTATTTTAAACTGTTTTAAAGATTGATAGCTTGGATTGCAGGACAGAGTAGACAGGTGCTTGTTTGAACCTCTGAATAAGTCCCTTGACTTTAGAACTAGATCTGATGTGCTCAGCATATACAAGGGTATTTAAGGAGAGAACGTACAGCAAGGAACTTTAGGAAGTGGAATGTTAAGTCGGAAACCAGCGTGGTTAAAGTTTCCGTGCTTAGCTGATTGCTGTCCACAGCTGCTTTTTGTACCTTCAGAGCAGCTTTGGCTGTATATGCCAAAGTACCTGTGTGGGAAGCAGTGGGGCACAGACCCTGAAATGGGAGCCCACTTCTCTCACTTCTGGGTAGGTGGGAGTGTCTCCACTGAAGTGTGTGGAGTTGCTTGTGCTGCTTTTATTATTTCTTTTTTCTTGTTTGTTTGTTTTTGTATTTTAACCACTGGTATAAGGGATCCTTTCCCTGGTTATTGTCCCTGAGCTCCTGCTTTCACAATTTTTGACTGGTTTTTCCCCATCTAGTTACCAAACCTCTGGAGGTCCTGTGTAAATTACAACAGGCCTCTGTGACTGAGGCTGCAGCTCTTGATCTGCCCAAGAAGTAAGAAACCACGCTGGAGTCCCAAATCTATATTTCACTCTTAGTAGCATATTGCTTTAATGTTGGGCCTCTGGCCTGGTCTAAAATCATTGCTAATATGAATATGCTCTTATTTTGTTCCCATTTTTTTTATTCTTTTACCCTTACTGCATCACGTTTCCTCTAGCCAAGAGGACAGACAGAGGAGAATCTGGTGTCATTGCTGTGGCTCAATGAATACACAGTGGGTATAATAAAAGTGATGAATTTGGCATTCCCTCCCCTTTTTCCTTGCCCTTCATGATGCAGTGTGATAATCTGGATCTGCTGAACTCCAGATCCAGTTCCCRTGATGTACAGATGTCAGATAATACCGTTTTCACACCACTGTAGCAACCAACCATCAAGCAACCACAGCAGTTGCTTTCATTAAAACTGAGCATTTCTGGAACACATCTCTGTCTCCCTTTTTAATGAGTGAGAGGTTTTACTAAGCTCTGGAAGATTAAAAATATTTATTTTTGGAGATGAAGATTTAACATCTTGAGAAGGCTTTGTGTTTCAGTAATGATGTGATTCTGATTGATGAGGATTTGATGAGGATTGATGACCTCATCTGACCATTGATGAGGTCTTAGTAGTGGCATTCCTCCCTTTTCCCTCTCATTAAAAGTTCTGTGAATGTGTTTGGGAGAAGGGTGGGGGGGAAAAAAACCTGTGTTCTGTGATTAGAAACATTCCAGTAATGTGTATTGGTTAATAACTGGCCCAGTAAGAATCATAGCAAAGTACCAGCCAGATCACCAGTGACGCTATTCTATCCTTTATTAAAAATACCTCTTTTTTCTTGTGGCTACAATGTATACCCTAGGAACAATTTCACAACCATGTGCCAAGCTTTTAGTAAGGCTGGCATTGCTGTTGGACTAAGATAAATTTTGAAGGCAAAAAGTTCTGGGTTCTAATTCTGGTTCTGCTGCATAATTGGACACAGCCTGGGAAAAATTGCTGGGATTCCTGCAACCCACTTACAACCCAATTAAAATTTGTCATGTGGAAGGACCTAGCTCTGCCATGGAACTGCATGAAAGTTTTCTAAAGATGACATTTCACTGATCCTTATGGAGAAATATCACAGAATTTGATAATAGTGAAACCTAAAATATTCTATTCAAATTACTTGTGCACAAATACAGGGTTTTTTTCTTTTCAAATTAAAAAGCTGTATATGTAGACTTCCAACCACATAGGATGCAGTTCCAGCCACTTTTTGTGGAACAGTCAGAGGAGGAGAAGCCTGAGGAAACTTGACAGCAGTCATGCAGTTAAATTAATAGAACTTACACTGAAATTTAATGTACAAAAATGCTAGAAGATAAATTCTGCAAATCGGAACTGTTCTCTGTAATCACTAGTGAGCCTTTAATACTTCATCTAAATAATACTGGTGTATACATATATATATATTAGTGTGAGCTTATATAATGTATGCGTTTTCTGTTTGTAAGTATAACAAATTATCAATCTGTACCTGAAAATAATTGGATATTTTGTGGGCATGGTTTTTGCTGTGGTTAGGAGATGCTGTAGGGCATTTTGCTGGGAGGGCATTGATAGGATAAGGGTTTCTCATTGTCACCACCAGTTGTCTGGATCCTGCAGTTTGATGGGATAATTATGTTTAATTTAAATTTCCTGTAAAGCATATAGAGAAAATATTTTCATGCATTTATTTTGTAGTGTGAGGCTGCATCTATCTCTCATGCAGGCTAAACCCCATTTCAGATCATAGGGTATCACCAGGAAATAAGTGACCAATTCTCACTACAGCTACAGCAAGAACTTTACAATAGATCTCTCAATTACCTTATTCTGTACTTCCTAACAAAGATGTGTTTTGGACAGAGCCCTAAAAATAATTAATATATATAAAATAAAATACTGTAGATACCTTATGTAGGTGTAAATGCTATTTTGACTCAGATACTAGTCAGGATGTGAGGSAATACTTAAATCAAACACATGCTACAAATTTTAATTGCTGTAACCAAATTATGAAAAAAGATGGTTATTATGAAGTTCCTTGACAGAGAGAGAATTATGAAGTTTATGTTACAAAGATGACCTGCCTATAGTCCAGATAAACCTGTCTCACAGGAGTGTGTTGCCAGAATTCACTAGTTAGCATTTATCTRTTTGAGTACTGTGAACAGGAAGGTGAAGTTCTTCTGTTTCCAAAGGGTGTGTTTTGCTTTTGCACAGATCATCATGGGATAACATGTCTCAATTGCTACTTGATTTCTTTTCCCTCCTTTTCTGGCTTGGTAGTTGTTTGAAGGGATGAAGGCTTACCGCGGAGTGGATGGCAAAATCCGCCTGTTCCGACCAACCCTTAACATGGACAGGATGGCACGATCAGCACGGAGAACAACTCTGCCAGTATGTACCCAAGGCATCTTATGCTCCTTAACTCAGAGCATGTTTTTCATTTTCAGAGTGCAGATCTTGAAAGCTTTTCAGTACACACTCTTAAGTCTTTGATAGCTGGGCAAAACTCTGTTAACAGATCTTACTCATTGAAGGAAACTGTTTGTTTGAAGTGCTTAATTTAAAAAAAAATCAGAACAGTGAGTGTTTTGCTCTCATTGCTGTCTCTGCTGCCTCAGATGTACACAGTGTTTCTGAGGGATGGGTGCTGTTCTGCAGGTATTTGCATGCAGACAGCTGTCTGATTTGCTCTGGTGCTAAGTGCTTCTTCCTTTTCTTCTCTGCACTTAAATTAAGTTGTTCAGCCTCTTGAGTGCCTTCGGTTGTGGTCATGCCAATAACTTAATACTGCTTTTAGCAATTGTATATTGGCCAGTGAACTTCTTCCCAGGCTTATTAGCTTTTTTGCTGTAAGAATGTGGGAACTTTCAGAGACTTWCTGGCCCCTTGGAAATGCAACCCAAAGCATTCTCTTGTAGAAGAGGTGGCGCTGTAAGCTTGCAGCATGCCCGGCTGAGTTGGCTGCACAGGGAGTTCTTCACATGCTTTGGCGGCAAGAAGGGACAATGGCTCCTTTTTACCATCTCAGGAGGATACTTTGGAGCAAAGGAGGTCATTCAGGATGCTGCACAAAAAGGCACATTAGCCAAGACCATGGGATATTAAATTCTGTAATGAATGAACCGGAGGGACATCATATGTAGTCCTGTGAACCTCTACCGTGTGTCACTGTTAGATACCCTGAGGAAGTGTTCCTGTGGCATATGGATTTGTAAAGACTACAAGGTGTTCCAGCTTTATTTCTCCATCTGATTTTTTCCCTTTCTTTTCCTTCCCAGTCTTTTGACCAGAACGAGCTGTTAGAGTGCATCCGTAAGCTTGTGGAAGTGGAACAGGAGTGGGTCCCATACTCAACCTCTGCCAGCCTGTACATCCGTCCTACCCTAATTGGAACTGAGGTATGGAATGCTTTTTTTTCCTCCTCTCTTTTGTTTATTTATCCTCCCTTTCCTTCATCCCTAAGGGAAATATTYATAAAGGAAAATATTCAGCAGTCTGTAGTTGACAGGATCGAGTTCAGGGGCAGATTGGTTTTATGGTTTTTCGGTGGATCCCTCAGCTGTAGCAGCGCGGCACAAATTTAATGTTGACCACACTGCCACTTAGTGGCCACACTGGTTCAGAGCACGTAAAGTRAACTTGGAGTAACTACTCCCGGTGGAAATGGAATAATACGTTTATTTTGGAGTTGTGCTGAAAAGATAATTATTTGTGGCATGTTAATACTAAAATCTAGTAATTCAGAGAGAACTTGATGGAATAGAAAATGCAGTGTACGTTTTGTGATTTCATACCTGGACTTAGTAAGGAGTTTTTGGAAGATTTTATCCTGTAAATTAAGATGTTGCTTCTGAGACACTTTCAGTAGAGCTAAGGATGAGTTCCTTTGTCAATTTATTCTTGAACCTGATATTCTAAGAGGCTCCTTAGTAAATAGGAATTTATGTGTCCTCTGAGTTTCATGTGTGAGTCAATTCTATAGTATTGATTAAGGGAATTAGAGCTTATTTTATTAAATCTTCGAGGGTTCTGTTTTTCAGCAGTAGCAAGTGAGAAATGTATAATGGTAGAGCATAGGACAAGGAAGCTAAAGATTGTAGGTTCCAAACTAGGTTAACTAAACTTCTGCAATATCCATATTTCTAAGTAGTTGCTATACATGCGTGTTTTACATTCCACATATGTTCTAGGACTCCATTAATTCAATATTTGTAAACTAGTTGCAGATTTTCAGATTAAAGAATCTCCACTCAGTGACTATAAAGTACTAAATTATAAWTTTTTTATTTCCCCGTTTTTATTTTTGGAAGTTCTTTTGTTTTGAGCTTTGTTTCAGGATAGCCAACACTTGCTTGTGTTGTTTCTGGGTTGCATGTCCTACTAAGCTWTTATGAATCACCACAATTAGAAATGCAGGCAGCACAACCTTTCAAATGATTATGTCAGGAAAAGTGTCAATATCTCAGTTAATCTCTCAGAAGTCTTTCTGAAGCAATGTGAGGTAGACAAAAATCAAAGGAGCCCTTCCAGCCCCTGGGGAACTTTGGCCAATACCAGACTTCTCAACCTCACCTTCAGATACTGATGGTGAATGGCTTGGACTGTGAGAAACCATTCTCAGAGAGGAGGGGGAGAAAAAACTTACATTCTTGTTAYATTCTCATTTTCTGTGCTGTTTTCTGAACTATTTCCAGCAGGCAGATCATTTTAGCTGTCACACAGGTGTTCACAGAGCCAGCACTCAACTCTGGCAATGCCAGTTCTAAATGGCACTGGCCATTCTTCTCACTAATGCAGCTGACATTGACGGTGGTTTCTCCACTGTTGTTACTGCTAGGATTGGTCTTGCCACTCCTTTCCCTAGAAGGCTTTGTAGGCTTCTGGTGTGATTAATTAATATTATATAGCACTTTGTTAAGCTAATATTTGAATTCTCAACARCTTGAAACTATTTGAGAATACCAGAATAATACATAGATAAATGGATTGTCTGTAAGTGAATGATGATAGTATATAAAATCAGGGTTGTTATGTTTTTTGGATGTGGGGAAGTTAAATATATTTMCTCCTAATTGCAGTTCTTTGTACTGTCCTGGTAAAAGCACTCTCATGCTGCAGTTCCAATGAAARCAGTGTTTCAAAAGCTGATGGTGCAACAGCTGATGTTTGAAGGATACCAGTAACTTTTGATTGGTTTATATTTCTTATTTTCAGCCTTCCCTTGGAGTGAAGAAACCAACTAAAGCCCTACTGTATGTCATATTGAGCCCTGTGGGCCCTTATTTTGCAAGTGGAAGCTTTAATCCAATATCCTTGTGGGCAGATCCAAAATATGTAAGAGCGTGGAAAGGGGGAACGGGAGACTGCAAAGTGGGAGGGTAAGAAAACATCATTTTACATTTTCTACATAGCTCACAAAGCAGATTTGKTTTTTAATGAAGTATCTAATCCAGCAGAAATAGACACATTAAATGCARTAGGTAAACAAAGTGTACTGCAATGAAGAGTTAAAATTCTACTTTGCAAATATTATTTACAGAACTCAGAAGTGTACAGAACTTGCATATTTTTGCTGGAATATTACAGCCAATTGATTTTTTTGCRGCATCTCAAGCTGAGGGACTGCACCTGGAAGGTGTCCATGTAATACTTTGGCTCTTGTCTTTGCAGCAGTTGACACTGGAGTTCAACATGCAACACTTTGTGCTGCATCATCAGTATAGCAGCCTTCTGCCAACAAAGCGGGGAGCAGCTGTGGCTGCTGACCTTCCTTGGATTGTCCTACTCAKGGGTTTCTTTGCTAGGCAGGAAGTCAGTAGCTGTCAAGTGCTGCTCAGCTGAGCTGGTGGAATTATCAGGGGGCAKGAAAACAGCTTTCCTTCATTCAAGTTGATGTTCTAGACCTTTATTTCTGTTTGTGAGATTTTGCTTATTTTTAGAAATATATTGTTTGCTGTGCATCCGTAATACATCAGCTGTGGAAAAAAAAGAGTACTTTGGAGTCATTACTGGTTTGATCTATGCCCAGAGGTGAGAACTTSACTCCAGTGTGGTCAGCATTTTGGACCAGCTGATTTTGGGTCTTGAAGGTTCTTGAACATCAGAAGCAAAAAGGGTTTTTTTCGCCCTCAGAGCAGTAGGTATTATTCAATCAGGTTCACTCTGTAGGTGTATTTTAGAAAAACATTTGCTTCTCAAGAAAATGGAATTCATCAATTTTCTGAAGTGAATATCTTTTACTAGAAAAGAAATAATTTACCTCTGGTGAYGTTTGTGCTCCAAGAGTTTCATCTAACGTATATGACCCATCTGAGATGAGGCAAATGATTTAAAAAAACCCAAAAACCCAAAGCAAAAGCTGGAGGGGAATAGCTGCTCTATTTCCAGTATGCCAACTGCTAAATAAAGATAAATGCTTTCTGAGCATTTTTAGTTGCAATTATTAGAATGTCCAGAATAWAGATCAAGAGGTATTTTTAAGTCAGTTTGGATGGATATGTTTGAGTTGTTAATGCTGTTCAGCTCTTCAAAGTTTTTGGGTTATAAAGGTACAAATGATCTAATTAATTACTAGTGGAGTACTTCCAAAGGAAATATCCCAGGGACAAGCAGTGACTGTTGCAGAGCACTTGCTTGTAATATAGATGTGCACAAAACCTTATTTAACAATGATAAGATCTCAACCGGGTACTCATAACTCATTGGGTTTTTTTCTTAAAGGAATTATGGCTCTGCTATTTATGCYCAGCAAGAAGCCCTGGAGTTTGGCTGCCAGCAGGTTTTGTGGCTCTATGGAGAAGATCACCAGATAACTGAAGTTGGGACAATGAATCTGTTTCTCTACTGGATAAATGAAGATGGAGGTATGGTAACACAAAGTATGAAAACTTTAACAGAGTAGACAATTGGGACCATAATCCACAAAATTATTATTAGAATGCAGATCACAATCTTTTTAATGAGGACAGTTTAACAGAGGGAATGCCTATTCTCTTTTGGAAATTACTAGGTAACTGTTAGTTGTGAAAAAGGAGATTCTGGAGCAGCTGTGAGTGCTGCCTGCTGATAACAGGCTAAACTCTGGGCCAGTCCATGTGCTCAGAAGGGCAGAGTTTAGCCATGCACAAGGTCACCCATCAGCTTTGGTGTCAGCAGGGTGTTTGATCTCCAGGGAGGTGTTGGCTCAGCACCAGTGCAAACATGCTAAAAGGCAGCTTATGASTGTGCAACTCTTCAGACTCTGTAGCTTTGAGTGCGAGAGGCTCCCATCGCCACTTGCTCGCAAGTCAAATGTTCCTGARCTATAGTCAAAAATATTCAGCATCCAATTGATGAAGAACTCTGTTTCCTTTGAAGAATTTGAAGTTCTGTCCAGTGGTGGCAGGCAGAGAAATACATGTCGGTCAGTGTCCCTTATCACTAATGCTCAAAAGGTGCTTTCAAGACATAGCATCATTCTTGAATCTATTTTTGCCTYTTTCTACCCACAGTCATCTCTGAGGAAGGTACATACTGATTGGAAAACTGTCYAGTTAAGGAGCAGCCAACTATTTCRGCATCTCAAAACCACACTTYATGTRTGCATGTAYTCAGTGCTTGAGATGTGAKAGCTGCACCTGATAACTGGTTTGKAAGACTACAGGCAAATGAATAAAAGGATAACTCATTACTTCCATGAATGCTGGCTCTCCATGAAAATAAAGTGTTACTGAATTTTTGCAKGGCAGCAGAAGCAGGGGTCAGACTGATTTCCTTGTAGTGCCATGGGTACCTTTGAAAACTCTCAGCTTCCTGACAATGGTCAGYTGCAGGAAACAGGCAACATTTTGTGGGGATAGCAGTGTTCTTTGGATAATGTGGTGTGCTTGGGATCTAGCTACCTGACTCCCATCTCCAGTTTTGTTGCTTGTGCTGCAAAACCTTTACCACTTTTCTAAGAAGAGGGRTGATACTCCCTCACTATTGAATGAGTCTGTGAAGCTTTATGAATGAAGTGATAAATATTAGACATCTTGTTRTTACAGCAGCAGTTGGTTTGTCAGTGTGGATAGATGGCCAAATTTATGCGTTGTGGAACTTCAGTGGAGAGACATGAAAATAGATTTTGGCTTGTTCTGCTGAGGGAAAGGACACTGAAGCGGGGACATAATTAGAATTCAATGTTCTTATTGTACTTAAACCAGGAATATGCTGGAATTATCCAGCTGCAGCACCGTGCTGTTCCAAAGATGTGCCAATCACTGTGTTACCAGTGCACTGCTGAATGGTGCTATTGTGAGGTGGCCATAGCAAACAACTTGTAATTCCTGCCACCCAAGTGGGCTGTGTGCTGGCAAACCTGCCATTTCGGAGGACACGGGCATTATCCTCATGGAGCACTGCACTGTTCCCTGGGCTGGTGACTAACTTTAGTTTATGGGATATTAGGCTATGATCCTGCTGCCAATGTATGTCATCACATACCTGCCTGTGGTTTTGCACTGGGATTTAGAAAGTGCTTTTCATTGTGTTCTGTCACTTCACAAAGGACACTCACTTAGGCTGTGGTTTTGTTATGCAAATGCTGCAGCTGAGAGAGGGATCAAAATAGTGAGGCAGAAATTGCAGATCGGTCATCAAAGGAAAATGCCCTTCTTTGTGTGTTCTGAGGTCACTGCCAGAGCTGTCTTAACTGCTCTCCTTGGTTTATAACCAGAGGCTCATCCCAGTAAAACCTGGACTGGAGGACATCCATGCTTCCAGTGGGAGTAAGCCTTGCTCTGTATTTTCAGGCCTTGCAAGCCTTTGCTCTGTATTTTCAGTTACAGCATTGTGACKGAAGGTGACATGTCCTGGATGGCAGGAGGAGCCTGAAAAAAYGTTTCATTTGTTATATCAAGGAGGGAATACTGCTCAGTTTTTGGTAAAAAAACGTGACTTGCTCTATGTTGTTCTTGTATTTCCACTGCTGTGCTGACTGAGGCTTATAATATGACCAAAACTGGATCCCTGCTGTTGCATAGRTACAGGAGTTTGAAACTTCATTCATCAGATCCTTTTGAGAGTTTATGTTCACTAAGTGAACAGTGGAGTCACCCTGCAGTCCTTTCTACATGACTCTTCAGAGCACATAAAACTACCCCAAGAAGCTTTTGACACTGAAACTCATTTCCTGCCACAATGTCTGTTCTTCTGCCTAGAATATAGGCTTAGCTTTTTCGAAAACCTTAAAATTTAAACATATGTCTAACCTGAAGGTTGCTAAGTAGGAAATCTGTGTGCACTTATGAAGAGTTCAGTTTTTTCAAAATGGTGTGCAACCATTTGGACTCTACTTCTGTCTTTAATGTTAGGGTATTGTGAATAGTATTCAGGCATTATTTAGTATTTTTGTGTTGCTATTAAAATGGTGATTAATAGGACCCACTTCAAAATTTTATAAATTATTACTTCATAAAGTATATCTGTTAAAATATTCTGGAACAATCAGGTAAAATTTAAAGCAAGTTTGCTTAGTATTCTGTGTTTGGAAGATTAGTTGTGCTGCAGAAGTGTCTTATACAATTAGACTACTAACAGAATCAGGATTGAAGCTTCTGTTCCAGTGGAGAGCCTCAGCAATAGCATGCAGGGGAGAGCAGCAAATTAATGAGGTAGCAGACAAAGAAAAGGAGGAAAAAGTAATTGAAGAAAGTGAATTAACAGACTGATGCCATGACAGGGATCACATGAGGGAAGAGTTGAAGAAAAGCCTGAGAAAKAAATAGATTCAGAACAAACTGGTAGAGAAAGTTAGTTGTTCATATTAGTGAAAACAGGGTTTTCACTCCTTGACCCTGAAGTTCACTTGGAATTTGCTGTCACTTTAGGTGTATTTCTCAGCTTTGTTACAGCATGACTAGTACTGAAGGCATCCTGTGATTGTAATCTTACCTGATCCATGTTCTTAAGTACAGGTTTGTAAAAATTAAAACTGTATAATAAACAAGACCTCTTTTTAAAAACTCTTATGAAATYCTGTTGTTAGAGCAAGCCCATACCAGGCTTAACAGGACCCTGGGCAGACAGGTACTACTGAGTTAACAGGAGCCAACGGAAGAGAAACCTTGACATTTCCCTTCAAATACATTTCTCCCTCTTTTTGTAACTATACATTTTAAGGCATCTACCCCATCAAAATAACTCGGAAGGCAAATGGAGTCTATGAGCTCACAGTCTGGTTTTTGGGAGATGGACAAACTGTTTTGGCATCAGTACAGAGAGAGGATGAGCCTTTGGCATGCCATGTTGGATAGTGTTATCATCTCTGCTGGATACCAGGGGAGCAGATGTTGCCTGGGTGGCCCCAGGCTGGTAGGCATCATATGTATACTTGACAAAATTCTACAGAGCAGCCTGTTTGGAACATTTTGAGACTTTCATGTCCTGTCTGCTCTGTGCTGTTTGGCGGCTGGTTTGGCCTGGCACCTTTTMAAACTAGCTCAAATCAATTAATGTATGTTATTGAGCTTAAACATGTCCTGGACAAGATMTGTAGCAACATCACCAAACAGAGAAGTGTAATCACAATCACTGGTATCAAAGTCCACAATATTTGAAGTTTTCTGTTAAAGRAAGGAGTATATTTAGTTGTTACTGGGTCACAAATGTAGAACATCAGGTTTTCAGTGTTTTGAATCAGGTGAGCCCTGTGGCTCATGGAAAGCTTTAAAGTCCTCTTCTTGTGATAGAAGTKCCAGAATTAGGACCACACATGCATCCTAAGTAGGAGTGATGCTAGACAGACTYCAAAAAAGGAACACTGTTATTCTTGACTGTATGAGAAAGGAAGAGATGGATGCTGTAATTAGAAGTCTGGGATGGGTTGGGGGATGACACTATGGGCTAGTCAAACTGGAGTAGAACATACAGCCTGTTCTAGGGTGGCTTTTCTATACATTTTGGCATGGCAGTTCACACCTGTTACTTATGTGTGTATAGCTCCTTAAAAAAGAAACATGGAAGCACTGGTTGGAAAGTCCAAATGAATAAATCCAGAGATGGCTGCATTAGAAAGTAACAGGTATTTCCTGAGAGAATGGACAGTGAGTAGCAGATTCAGTGAATTTATCCTCCACATCTCCTAACCCGTCCCAGCACCCAATGCCCCCTCTTGCAGATTGGGGGCACCCAGGATAGTCAGTCTGGAGCTGGCAAGCAGTSTTTGTGCACAGAAATACCATGTTGAGTGCTGAAAACAGCACTGAGCAGCAGAGCTCAGCCTGCTCCCACAGACCAAGGACCAATACCATGTTTCTCTCTTCCATCCAGCTGCAAGTGTTCACAGGACCTATAGAAATAGTTCAAAGAGAGATGCTCCTTTGAGAGGGGTTCAGCCACGCATGGATTCAGTGATCTTTTTGCAGCCAGGGAGAAAGGGGACATATGATATATATCTTCCTGTTATTATTGGGTTTTGTATGTGACATAGGTAATAATAAGCAAAACTCTTTATGGTTTGTGGATTAATTGAGCAGGGATAGTATCCTTATAAGGTCAAGAAAGAAAAAAGATTGTAAGTAGGGAAAGAAAATTATTAGGAAAAAATATGAAGAGTATTACTGAAAGACTCTATATGTCTTGACTTCTCAGAGCAAATTTGATACAGTCTTAAAAGCCTCTGTCTGAAAAAAAATAAAAGCTCAATCTTCTCTGATAATAGAAACCAGTGAATAGACTGTGAGATGGTTTAAAATGAAAAAGGTTAACTCTACTGCAGAGATGAGATGGAAGATCGAAGTCTACATACAAACTTGTGCTTCAACTCAAGTATTTACCAAGTATGGATTGTATACCAAGTGTTTATTATTTAGTATTTATCTACCATTTCATTAGTTTTGTTAGATGAACATTTATTTAATGTTCTTTTTCAAAAGYGAACAAGAAACACAAGCTAGCAAACCAAACTAGTTGAACAACGTGAATTGTTGTTATTGGATTTTTCTTAGGATTGCTCTAATTGTGTAAAGAGAAAAACAGGAGGGAAAAAGGGTGTCTAGACTACAACAAAAGATCTTTGAGGAAGGATTGGCAAGATCTCCGCTGTTTTGCTGGTTCAGTAAATGAACTTCAAAATTCTTCGTAACTGTTTCGGATCATTGCTATGAAGTGGATATACTAAATCSCATATTCCTAAATTAAGTAAAACATTTCAGGGAAAGTTGTGGTCTGCCCTGGGATTGTTAGGCATGGCTTTCCTTCTGCCTTTCTCTTCTGAATTTGAAGACTGAATCATTTCTTGGTTTGCAGTAGTTATACAATGCAGTTATAAAGTTATATCTACAATGCACTGAGGAATAAAACCCTGAGGAATAAAACCTTCTATGAGGCACTAGGCATGCATATATTAATGTATTGAATATGTTTCTTCCCCRCCCACTGAAATGTACTTAAAAGGTYCCAGACACTCAACAGCAACTTACTAGGACTGAGTTCTGTTTGTGTTCCTGGAGAACTCTCATAAATGTTTAATCTTCCTGTGTAGGGAATATTTTTGATGCCACAGAATCATGAAATATCCTGAGTTGGAAGGGACCCACGTATTTGGTGTAGTATCAGTAAACGTTTGTTTCTTTGTTTGTTTGTTTTTCATCCAGTGTTTCTCTTTCTTTTTTGTTTGGCAGAAAATGAACTGGCAACCCCACCTTTAGATGGCATCATCCTTCCAGGCGTGACAAGACAAAGCATTTTGGATCTGGCACGCAGTTGGGTGAGTGTTTTGGCCTTGGCAGTAATGGCATCAAGTATCATGTAATAACATCAGCAGAAGTAAACCTTTCTGGTACTCAGTATCTTGAAGTTCAACTGATCTGGTTAAATCAYAGGATCACAGAACAGTCTGGCTTCCTAGAATCACACAATAGCCTGGGTTGGAAGTGACCTTAAAGATCATCTCATTCTAATGCCCCTGCCGTGGGCAGGCACGCCTTCAACTAGACCAGGCTGCTCAGAGCCCCATCCACCCTGGCATTGGAAAGGACCTTTAAAGGCCGTCTGTTCCAATCTCACTGCAATGAGTAGGGACATCTTCAACTAGATCAGATTGCTCAGAGTTGTGTCCAACCTGYCTCAAACTCTGCTTTCAAGGTCCCTCTGGATGGCAGCTCTTCCCTCCAGCGTGTCAGCCCCACCACACAACTTGGTGTTGCTGAGAAAAGTTGCTGAGTGTGCACTCAGTCCCATTAATCTCAATGAGAACTAAAGGCATGCTAATTCAGGGATTCTCGGAAGCATCATCAGAATACCCACACCTGTCACACAGAACAAGACCAAGCTTGTTAAAGTAGCYCTGTGTACTGTTTAACATGAAAATTCTCATTAAATCCCCTGGTACCAGCAACTTAGAGCAAGGAAATAAAGAATTACCATGCATGACCGTAGCTATACTTCAGTCATCAGTACATTATTTCTGCATTTAGTTCTCTATACTTCCAGCCTTGTTTCTACTAACTAGCATGCAGCCTGGCCAGCCACAGTCTTGATGTCATCTGTCTGCTTCCTATTCTGTAGTTGTAGAAATCCAGGAACTTATTTTGACACTTGGGACTAGATCATATCTTGAAATGCAGCAAACTTTTCACATTGCCTTACTGTATTCAAAAGTTTTATTGCAGCCTGGGTAAGGWTGCTACACAGCCCAAGGTTCACCAAGCCCAGTATCCTGTCTCCTGGTTTTGGCTGGGCTTATGCTTGGAGTGGGATAACAGGAATAACATATCCATGAAATGAAAATTTCAAAGTGTGATTTTTTTCAAAGTTTATTTTTTTTCTTGAAACATGTCCCTTCAGTTGATTGCTATTAATTCTTCAACTCTTATAGAGGGTAAAACACTGCCAGTGTTAAGACTGTGCAGTGCAAATGGCTTTTCTCATGCCTTCAATACAGTTAATTTTTGAATGTGACAGCTGTGTGTAGGCTACATTGGAAAATTTCACTAGGGATTAAAAAAATATATTACGTAGTTGGGCTGGCAGGTGAAATCAGTCAACAGAATGTATCTTGCTTAGGAATTGTCTTGAGATGGGCATGCAAAGGCTCTCTTGATATAATTGAGTAATTTTTGGACAACCTCTAAAGTGCTAGAGACCATGAATAGAGAGATCCACTGTCCCATAACCCATGACAATTCTTCAGTGTTATTCCATAATGTGATAATGATATTCTGGGCCAAAAGGGAAGTGCTGCTTAACCATCAGCATTGTCTCTGGCAAACCACTGGCTTCTTTGGATGTTATTCTTTTGATTAAAATCTATCTTATGTAATACTGGGATATGTGAAAAGATCACAAGGTCAGAGTCAAAACTTGACTTATTGTCACTAGGCATATTGGTTATATTGGTAATATTTCAATGTAGAAGACAAAAATATAAAACTTTTAAAACTTTTTACAATTTTTATTGTTGCTGCTTCTTGTGCAGGGAGAATTCAAAGTGTCGGAGCGATACATCACCATGAGTGACCTGACAGCTGCCTTGGAAGAAAACAGAGTAAAGGAGATGTTTGGTGCTGGAACAGCTTGCATTGTATGTCCCATATCTAAAATTTTATATAAGGGCAAGGTAAGAAAATGTCTCTTTTTTTTTTTTTTTTTTTTTTTTTTTTTTTTTTTTTTTTTTTTTTTTTTTTTTTTTTTTTTTTTTTTTTTTTTTTTTTTTTTTTTTTTTTTTTTTTTTTTTTTTCACATTTCCTCCTTCTGAATTTTATCAAAATTAATTGTGACTGAAGACAAAACCAAGGGAAATACAAAAGGTGCACTGCCTGGAAAGATGAACAGTGCCACTATGCTCCTTTCCTAAGTGAATTCCTGGTTGTTGAAAGAAAACTTTCCCTCTTGTCTTGTGGGTTTTTGTTTCAATATCTGAAAATATAAAATCTCAAGTTCTGGGAAAGTGAAAGGAAAAAATAGTTCCCAGCCTGTTTTCAAATGTAGAAAAGTCTATTCTTCCACATTTTTTTATTCAGTATTTTTTCACTGAGGCACCTGGGAAAATTGAGGAGAGGAAGGRCTTTCACAGGGAACCAAATTTCTGAGCCACTGCAGTCCGTCCTTCTCAAGTTGATCTCTTCGTCACCCCTCATTGCAGGGATCCCAGCTCTGAYGGAAGGGCTGTTTGAAGGCAGTGCACAGCTGCTTTCCCTACTGTTCACCATAGGGGAGATTTCTCCTGCATGGGTGGAATTCCTCAGGCATTCAGACTGTTAAACTGACTTGATGCTATTTAGTCAGCACAAAGTTAGTTCAKAGGACTGGGGGAGTGCAGCTGCGTRAAGGGTTATGCTTTGTCCATTAAACAGAAGTACAATAAATGTCTGTGAGGTGATACTTCCTGAACGAATAAATGTATTGATATTACCTGATGCTAAGATAATATGAGACATCAAGCTATCAAATGATAAGTACTGTAAATATAAGTGTTGTATTTCTGCACAATATATTCTGAAATTAAATACTTTATATAATGTTACTACTCTTGCCTGTGCAATATTCTTTCCATTTTGGACACATCTCTTGGAAGGCTAAGATTAGCCTTTATTGAGTAACAGCGTAACCATTTACTCTAACTTTTCACTTGCTCGTCATGCCCTCCTGTTTAAAAAAAAAACCAAAATCAACCACCCTTGCCTACTCGTAAGGAGGGCTAGCCAGCATGATAAAATATTTACTAAAATTTTTGGCAACCATAAGGTATTCATATATATGTAAAGCTACTCTTACATGTTATTCTCTTTTTCTCTCCCTCTYCTTTATTCTTCCATGCCAGCACTTGCACATTCCAACTATGGAGAATGGGCCTGAGTTAACAACCCGTTTCCTGAATAAGCTAAGTGATATCCAGGTAAGATGATTCCTCTTCTACAACCAGATAAAATAATAAAAGGTGAACATTTTAAAGCATTGGAAAATCATTTTTTGGTAGTGATGCTGTAGGAGGCATTATATAATAATATAGACCCCTTTGTCTTGTGTGATTATTCTATCAATTTTCTTTCCTTGAGAAACTATGAAAGGGATGAAGTGTAGTATAATTTTTCCCTATTCACCTTGGAATCTGGGTAAGAGTTGCAAGATATTACTGTTACCCATGAAATCTAATAATGTTGTTAGAAGTTACTTTTTAAGGGAAAAATGGTGGATTATGAAGCATTTTAACCACAATCACAAATGAGTACAGGTTAATCAATAAAGAGAAGGGGGAGGCAATAAACGTTCACTGGGCACAGCCAGCAGATCACCATTTCTATTTCTCATTATCTTTCTAATCACACAGTGACTTCTCATTCTTAAAACAGTTCCCTCCTCTATCATTTGCTAAATATCAGAGTCTGGAATCTGTGCATTATCTCCATGTCTGGGCATAGGAACCARTGCCATTTCAGGTGAAATCAATAAGCAGCATATGATGGCAATTCTTATTTTAGTTGCCTGATTTTTTTTCTCTGATTTAGTGTGGTTTATTGKGTGGGGAATTTGGGGTAGGAGAAGTTCTTGGCAAGTTACAAGCCCCTTTATTTAAGATCTTATAGCAGTTGCTTGGCAGTATTGTCAGGGTTTCTTCAAATTGAGTCTTATGGTTTCTGTACTACATTTTTGGCTCATAATGTTCTTAGATTTGCTACTAAATTTTTAACTTCCTGCCAGTAATCCTGTGATCTGTGTGTTTCTCCCTTGAGATAGTGAGTGGTGTGAGGTAAATTTATCCAGCCTTTTCCCTGAGGTGTCCTTCCATGCCCTCCCTGTTCACAGAATCCCAGTATGGGTCAGGTTAGAAGGGCCCACATGGAGTCATCTGGTCCCACTCACGCAGGGCCATCCCAGAGCACATGGCATAAGATTGTGTCCAGACAGTTTTGGAATATCCCCAGTGAGGGAGACTCCGCAGCCTCTCTTGACAGTCTRTTCCAGTGCTTGGTCCCTGCACAATGAAGTTCTTTGTCATGTTCAGGTGGAGCTTTCTGGGCATCAGTTCTTGCCTATTGCCTCTTGCCTTATCACCCTCRTTTTCCACCACCAACCAAGGCTCAGGAGGAGGCTGAAAAAGTGTGGATAAAAAACGTTATCTTTCTTGGACCTTTTCACTTTACTTGCCTATTGATGGACTTTTTCACCTTTCAGCTATGTACATACTCTGTGTTCATTAGTTATGTGCCAAGAGTAAATTTTTTACTCCTGGAAAATGCTGGACTATTATGTATATGTTTGCTTCTGGGTTCTCTTCCTTCTTTAAAAAACAGGGGAGTTAGAACATATAATCTTTGAAAACATGATTTTAAAGAGAATGATGGTTACTTCCCCTTTGACAGTCAATCAGAGGTTGCTGGTTGTGTTTCTGCACCTTTCTGTCTTGGAGAGATGGGCTCATATCCAGGCAGACCCGAGAATATTGCATAGAAAACAATGTTGCATCACAAAAAATGGACTATGTTCTCTAATATTTTAAGAATATTCTAATCTTTCACTGGGATCTTTTATGTTCTCTACGAGGAGGTAAAAAAATAATCTCTTTGCAGCATCATTGGGCAATTTTCATATCATTTGGATAATCTGAGGCTGCAATTCCAAAGAATCTTCAAGTTTTGAAGAAGAAATAGCAGTCCAACACAGCTAGAAATAGCAGTCCAACACAGCTTTGGGCTCTGTGCTGTTCTGTTGCTTGACCTGGGGCAGTGTGTCCATTTCATGCTGAACAATGGGAATTTGTAAAAAAGTAAAAATTCTCAGCACCACCATGCCCTGCATCTGAACCTGTGCCCAAGAAGTGCAGGCTCCCCAGCCACTGTCATTATACCAATTCCCATGTGTACAGTACATGCTTCTTTTATTATTTTCATAGTCTCTTCATTATTGTATTTCCAAGTGTGTTTTCATGCTGCCTATTGTTCTTTTGCAAGTCTGCTGCRTTGAGCAGGATTTCTTTGTATGTGAACAGCTGTTCAGTGGAACCAGAGCTGGAGTGACAAATTAGAAACTCATGGGCAGAACTGATTCAATTTCTCATGCCAGTTGAGAGCGACAGTGGTGGCACTGCAATACACATTTCCCTTCCTGTCACTGAGTAGATAAAATGATTACTAAAGGCTGATAAAGACATTAAATTAAAGAATGCACATTATATAAATTAATGGTGTGCTTATGAAAGAATTAGTAACAGTATATTCTTCTGTAGCTATTTAAGCTGGAAGATTTAGGGATGAGATTCTTTCATCTTAGCATACACTCACTGAAATACCACTCAGCTGTTCCTGTGGGTTTCCACACTTTGAGAATAAACAAGCCTTTGCTATGCCCTTTAAAACATAGATTAAGGTGTAACTTGGAAGGGATGGGTAACAAGTAAGAGATCCTGCTTATGCTACATCTTATTAAAAGCATTTAAACACTGCAGTCAAGACAGCAGAGAACCGACATTTAATGAAACTCCCTTTCTTTCTCTGGGTAGCTAAGTGGAAAACAACCACAAAAGGACAATGTATGTGTTAATGTTTTACAAAGAAGGAACTGGAGGTGGTGGACAGTGAAAGAGGAGTGGGATTGAGTAGCCTGAGATCACATAGTCCTTTGCAGAATTTAAAAAGAAAGCTAAATCTGCTTTTATTTGCWGAAAGAAATAATCTTTGTTGTGGGATCAAGTATTCATTCCCCTTTTAATTCTGGAAGCAGGTGCAAACTGTAGTCAAATGGCAGCTATGACCAGTCTTTGCAATAATTTCTGTATCAGAGCATTAGATGATGCTGCTAACCTAAAGATAATTGAATAATACTCTGGCCTTTGCCTGCTTTCTGCTTCGGGAGAGGTGGAASTGCCATGTTTTCTCTGAGAATGAAGGTCAGAGACATTTCTTTTTCCCTCCCTTAGCCCCCATCCTCCACAGAACTGGCCTCATCACATCACTTGAGGGCAGTCTAGTGCTTTGCGGTTAAACTAATGATGTGTCTGCTTTTCCTTGGTTAGAATTCCAAAGGCAACCCCACTGACATCTGGGAATGTAAGCTGAAAACCTTTCAAACAAGTAATTTGTGCAAAGTTCTGCATCACATCTGACCAGTGTTTAATCAACTTTGTYGCAGGCTGCAGAACAGGCGCAGCAGAACTAGTAATGGAAAGAAAAAGAATATGTGATACTTGTGAAGATCAGTTAGAGGCCTTACCTGCTGGAGCAAAGAGTAAAACMCAAGCAGACTAAACACCATTCCATTTTGGTTCTAGATGTGTGTTTCTTCTGGCTCAGCATGATTTGGAGCTGTTGTCTTTTCCCTGCTCTAGTGTCCTGTTACCTCTTTTCCTGGTGATGCAGAACCTGGATTGGAGGAACTTCCTTTTTCCCACTCTGAAGCAGCCATCATTAAGTGATCTTTGTAGTGTACATAAAGCCTCCAAAATCACTCTTCATTTCTTGGTTGAAAGTGTTTTCAAGCTCCCTGAGCATAACACTATGAGGGAAAGGACTCCCAACTCACACCTGCTGCTGTCTCTCTACCTCTGAATTATTTACCTACTTGAGCCCTTTGTGTGTTTTGGGGTCTCTCTGGAGCATTGTTTACAGGAGTGGTGACCGAGCTGTAGAACATGGAGCCAGTCTAGCAATCAAAAGTGCTGCCTTGGGAGTGTATCCTGCCCTGGAAGGGACATGGCTCCATGCCATAGGTTGCCTTCATTTCTGCTTGGTGATGCTGTTGGTTTGTGTACGGAAAGACAACTTGTTTTATTTTGGATTACAATTCTCCCTAATTGTACTCTGTGGTATTTGTGATGGTTTTAGATCACATTCAATCAGAATGTTGTAATAAAAAGCCACCTTGACAATAAAAATAATAAAACGAAATGTGTTTGTTTACTGGAGCTTGAGCAGGGGCATACTTATGAGTGAATTAGTGAGCAGRCCTCRGGGAGTAACTGCATTTAAACTGATRGAACTGAAGCAGGACGGCTCTATGTTATCTGTAATGAGTATCAGCATTACCCCTTCCTAATCTACCTATTGTGATGTGGATAAAGCTTCATGCTATCTTTAGGCTGCATTCAACTCAAAGACAGAAATAAAGGAATGAGAAATATGTAAACTACTATCAGAGCAGTGGATGTGAACATTTCTGAGGATAGATGTAAGAAATTATCATAAATGTACACTCATTATTTTCATTCTTAAACTTCATTTTTTGCTTTGTTTCAGTATGGAAGAGAAGACAGCGATTGGGCAGTGCTGGTGTCATGAAGGTGGCAGAGTTCATATCCTCCAGACCGACCTGACATCTGAATATTGACAATTTCTGTAGCTGCCAGTGTGTAGCGTAGTCTCAGTATCARTTTGCTCCCCAGGATGATTGTTTCCACAATCCAGCAAATGTGAACACAATCATTTTGATTTCTACTGTAATCCTGTTGGTAGAAGCCTGTCTTCTTGGTAGAGGTGCTAAATGTTAGCAATAGAACTTTCCTAATGGTTTTCTTAGTGCCTCCTTATATACAGTCTGAAAATTTGTTAAATGCTCTTCAACTGCTCTTCAGTTTGGTTTGTTTACTGCCACCATCAGCAGAACATGTGTCACATGAGCCCATTGCCTGTTAGTTGCCCACAGGGTTCTGTTGACCTTATTCTGCCTTTTGCTCTGTGTTTGGGAAACAAATAGATTTAGCCATACACTTTCCTTTCACACTCTGCTTGTATGGGAGATTCCTGAGCTTGCTTAGCCTGCTAGATCCCCTCRTGCATACCCTGTCAAATAACTGTGGCCTTTAGCCCAAAATTCTGAGTCAGTCTAGCCTGCAAGGTGGTCCCAGTTGGTCTATTGCCCTTCTCTCCATGGGAGTGTGCAGTGGCTGCTTGGGCAGTGCATGCCTCTCTAATAGCTGAGTCCACCCTTCCAGACATGATTTAAAAAGCTGGGTTAGGCCCTGCTGAGACCAATTCTCCCCTTTGTTTGGCCTAGCAYGGAGCTGGACTCTGCAGACATGATGCTGCCTTCCAGGTGAGAGTCTAGAAAATGAGATTTGACAGCTCTGATTGTGAAAATTGAACCATTCTTTGCAGCAACCAAAACTTTGGATTGAGGAATTTCTTTCATCATCCACTCACRTCATTTAGGTCAGCAAAATGGTTTTCTCATCTCTCTCTCATCTCTGCTGTATCCAGCCTCCATTGGCATGCACTGCAGAAGGGCCTTCCTRTTAAGGAGCAGGCAATGTTGTCAACAGAAAATATCTAAAAGGAACGAGATTTCATTCAAACCCTGATTTCATTCTGGTTAAGCCGATGTTTCTTATATAAAGCTGCTTTCTCACACACAGTCTTGATACTTTGGAAGCAATACAGAGCATGTAGCTCATAGTTGGAGAAGTAACTTTTGCAAATGTTCACTAACGATCATTCTGTAATATTTATTAGCATTCTCCTTCTGCACACAGCTTTGTTGAACAGCTTTAAGATACCTCTTGCCAAAAAGGATAACCATATTCTGTATCAAYGTTCCAAAGTGCTACTTCAGTGTAAAACTGATGGAACTTTATTGACACTTTATTGGAGTCCTATAAGAAGTAAAAGTGAAACGTTTCTTGTTCTAGTTTGCTGTAGAGATGCACCAGTATTAAGGGAAACATTTAGCACTTTAATTTTTTTAAGACCCAACAGTATCTCTCCCATGCTTTATAAGTCATTTGTAGTTACTGACATTTGTTAACATAGTTTAAAAAGGAAAAATAAAATTTCTAATGGACCATCCATGCCTTATGCAACTGTTAAAGAGCAGCCTTCCTGTTCATTTTTGGTCACATTTTGAAGGCCCCTCCTAAGCCATCACTTCYTTTTGCTCCCTCAAATCATTACTTTTCCTGTCTTTGGCTGCAGTCCAGTCTGATCTTTTAATGAAGAACAGTTGAAGGTTCTCTCTGACAATGTAATAATTGTTAAAACTTGATGGGTAGTTTCTTCTTTAGACTATAACTGCAAGCACAAAGTGCTGTTTCAATTACAGTAGCCACAGTGTTGTGACCATTTTAATCTTTATTGTGTGTGGGTCTTTGTTCAGTATCTTACTATGTGTTATAAGCTGCTGGTAATCTTATTTAATTAGATGGGTGTAAAAAATGAACATGGTTAACATGTCAAGATGCAACATGGGGTAGAGGGTTTTATCCAATGAGATCAGTATCGAAACTAAAGAGTGCCTTTAACCAGAGTGTGGCATGGAGCTTTCTAAAGATTATGTAATGAACAACCACATGTGGCTTCCTTGTACTGAACTATCTAATCTTTAGGTTCCTTTTTGATTTATCAGCAAAAGAAAAATGAAAATACCTAACTTCAGATGCATGGCAAAGTGGTTGTGCAATACCTTAACATCTCAGCTTTGATGTCTATATATGAGTTGATACATGATACCATATATCCAAAATCCCCATGAAGACCTCAGTATACCAGCAGTAATCTATTCRCTAGGCAGAATGAATAAGGACCAGTTAGAGGAATTATTTTACTGAAATGTAAACCTGAAAATTGTGTAAAACTTTTCTTCAATTGATTGCAAGTTATTTAACGTGAAGAAACCAGGTGGTTTCATTTGTTATGTTTTGCTCTGTTCTCTGCACTGACCAGAGAGACACATTTCCTTTTTCTGTGGGTGGAGACTTCAAAATGAGCAGACTATATAGTGGAATGACCCACAGAAATGAGTTGTCTTTTCTTGCAGGGAAGAATGAAAATGTGGAGTATGTGTATGTTAATTGTTGTCTTTAACATCTTGGTTAATTGCCTTACTCTGGCTATGTCAAATCGAAGCTGTGCTGTTTCCAGGTAGAATCCAGGGAAATAGGTTTTAGGTTTTAAACTATGAAACATAAATGGAGCTGACAGGTCAGTACAGTACAGGAAATCCTTCTGATGTTGCGTGCTATCCCACTCTGAATTCTGGCACTGCATTTTATCCTGTACACCAAAGGAGAGAAATAATATGTGTAAATAATAGTCAGTATTTGATACTGCATTTTACTTGGTTTTGCTTGTAAAATTTAGGAGGGAACTGTGGTATTCCCTGAGCTAATAACAGATTGTAAAAGAACATCTGCACGTCTTTTCTCCATGTGCCCTATTTGTTTAATTGCAACAGATTTACATAGAAAGAGTATGGTACATTATAACTAGGCAATTATCCATTCTTCATCACTTAGTTATGGTTCTGGTAATTGATCATTTAAGACTTAAGACTAACATTAGGAGAATTTGAAACTGTTCAAAAAAAGATCAACAAATTAATATTGTTGTGTGATATTTGCGTAATTGGCTGCAATTATTTAATGTCTAATTGGGTTGATCAAATGAGATTCAGCCTTTCACATGTTTATGTTTAACAAACACTGGTACTTTAAAATGATAATAATGAATTCTAATTTTCATATGTTTTTTTCTTCTCCCCTTCATTCTTTTGATTGTTATTTTCAGTATTGAGCATGTCCTTAATTTTCAGTTTGGTTATCRTGATTCATGCCTAGGAAAAAAAGTCCTTCAAATAAGAGAATTTTCATGAAACTGGCATTTCATACAAGCTGTTCTGGTGCCAAGAGATACGGCTTCACAAATGGCATTACTTAACTGGATTCTTAACTGCAGTGAGGACAAATTTGCTGAGAATTTACAGGGACAGACCCAGGTGAGGATGCTAACAAAGGTCCCTAAGGTAGGCAGTCTGTTCAGTTCATAGCAGTGCAAACATGGTTTTTCTGGGATATAGAAGGGAAGTCTGCTAAGACAAAAGCAAGGTAGTGAGATCTCTGCTTAGCTGTTGTTTACATCTGTTCAGCTATCTCCAGCCAAAAACCTGTTATTCACSATTCCTCCTTTTTGCACATAACCTCTTGTTTGGGTTTGCCTAATTCAGCATTGAGATATCATAGATCCCTTTCTGTATGCTTATTTTATATCATTTATCCTCAGGCACGGAGAATGGTAATTTGGAAAAATTTGATACTTGAAAATCATTTGGCATGCAAGTTATTTGAAATGTCTAATATATGGTCTTCTAAGAGGTAGACAGAAAAACAGCTGGGACTGATCTCAGAGTTGCCTAATTAGAGGGGAATCCCTCTTAATTCATTGGCCTCTCCAAAACAATCTGCATGAGTCCCAGCAGTTTTCTGAGTGTGAACTGTCTGCTCACTGTGCCTTGCTGTGGAATAGARTACAAAGATATCCAAAGATGGTGGCACAACCTGGTAGACTATGGTACATTGTCTCTCTGCCTGGGGATCAGCCCTACTGARGGTAAGTTTTAGTATTCTAGTGGCAGGCTTCTATCCTGAGAGGTAGCAGCTGTAAATTATCTCTGAGCATGCCCTGAGATAGCTCTTCCTTGTCTTTCTCTCCCTTTCACACAGACTTGCGCCCCTTTTCTCCCAGCCTTCTGTCATTGTGTCATATCTAAAAGTGACCATTTAAGGAACATTGCTATCTTTTTGCTTCTGGGGTTGTGACAGTTTAATAAAAAAAAAAAATAATTTTTTTTGCATATTCTAGGTGTTGAGGGACCAGAACTGTGCTTTACCTCCTGAGCATGTAATCCTGTAATCCCTAAACAGACTGCCACTGACTCTGTGACCCTGGACAAGTTATCTAAACCCTTTGTCATTGCAGAGTAGTTCTACCACTTACACCACTTTTAACTCTAATCCAAACTTTTGCATAAAAGCTTACCTTATTGCTGATCAAGTAAGCTTTCCAGAAAAAGCTTTTTAAGCAACCTGAAAGATGCCACGTTAAGCCCAGTATTTCAAGGATTACATTGGAACAGAACTGTATTGATTGTGCAAAGAAAAATGTTGCCTAAATGAGAAATACATTTACAGTTTGCTGCATATACCCATAAACCCAATAAATAGCCTTTAAATGGGTTATATGARGAATAAAAAGATTAGCCTACAGAAAGATCTTCACAAGAGAATTTGCCTCAAACAAGGCTGTCCTATTAAAAAGTGATGCTGAAGGAATCATTACACCTCAATGTAAAGTCATTGGTGGGGGTCTGCTTTAGAGGTACACTTGGTCGTGTAGCACTGTGACTGACCTCTTTATCAGTCTTGACCAAAAATTTGCTGAACTGCAATACCAATTTGGAGGTGTGAAAGACTGTATTTTGTCTCTATCCTCAAGATTTGGAAAATTAATTCACAGGTCCTAAATWATTTATGCTAAGAAACTTCTTAATTTATTTGTATTTTTGGTCATAAGAGCAAAGGAGAATACTGACATTGGATTGGTGAAAATACTGTTGTAGCAGTCCTCCTGTCCATGCCTTGCTTTAAGCATGATGCTTATTAGTAGGAAATCCAGGATATTTTCCCTGACTGTGCAAAATCTGAATGCCATCTATAGCACACTTGGAAAATATATTCCCAACTCCATAAACAAAACTAACTTGGCCTTTACCTTGAGCTGGAACAGGCAAGTACATTAGGACTTAGCAGTTGAGGAATAATAACTGARTTAGAATAGTAAATAGATTTGAAATAAATATAGTAGTCAATAAATTTGGAATTAAGTTTTGGAATTAGTASCTCAGATAAATAGAAGTCTCATTAATCACACTAGCAAGGTTAACCRCACCCAAATATTCTAAAAATAATGGTAAGTATATTTACCAGTAGTAATGCATGGCTCTCTCTGAACRTGAATTTACACTCTTTGCTTATCTTAAAATTTAATTTAATATGTCTGATTTTTACCACAATCCTGCATTTTCATGCCATGCTTTAAAAAAGATCTCTTAAATTTTATGTTCATGGGAAGAAGGATTTAAGACCTTGATAAGAATTTCTAAGCATTTAAAATATCTGCTGGGTAAAGTTAAGGTAGAACCAGGGAAGACGACTTGTGGAAGTATTTGACTACAGTGTTTCAGATGGTTTACCAATGAGCCATTTTTGGTTTTTACCAAAGAGGTATGCAGGGAATRGTAGATAAAATAAGCTTATGGCTTGTTTTTCTAAGCGAGGGTGGGGAAGTTTCTAAGAGCTGGTTCTCTTAATAACATTAACTCTTTATAGTTCTTGATTCTGTCAGGCTTATTCTGAGCAGTCATTTCAGGGGGAGATGGAGGAGCTCAGAAGGTTATCTCAGGTGGTATCGTCTTGCAGAAACAGATCTTCTTTCATTTATTGGTCAAGGTGATCAAGGTATGATCATGGAATCTTTTAAACTTCACATTTTTAATAAAAATTTTGGTTTTAATTTTAGAATTCTGATACAGTGTTGCTGAACTATTATCTTACACTATYGTATTTCAGTAGCTCATAGGAAGAGAGCAAACTCTCTTACTCTTTATGTAATCACCTTCTATCTGTATGCCAAATTCCCTGTTCACTATGATTTGGTCACCACTAGAATTGTGACCACTTTGGGTGAAATAATATTTTTTTTTTCTTTACTGCACCCTATTTGTACTTTTAGTAAGTACTAAGTGCTTGCAGCAAATGTCAGAGCAGTAAGTGAAAATTCTGCTGTGTCCAGAGCAGGCATGCCAGGAGCAAGAGTGAAAATATTCATCAGGTCAGGGAGGGCAGGTCAGAAAAGCATCATTGCCATTCTTGTTCAGTCCAACTGAGACACTACCCAGGTACACCAAAAGTCCAGCAGAATCAGAGATTGGTGTTGATATTTAAGAATGCTCTTGCTCAGTTGCTTAAATACATCTGTGCCTACATTTTCATAACTTGGGCCCYGTTACTGAAACCTGCAACACCCTTCTATATATTGTAAAACAGCGAAGTATTTGATGAAAACAAAGAGGTAATGCTCCATGCCATCTAACATGTCAATGATTTATTCTCTTCCCATAATTTGTATTAAGCCTAGTGGCTGAGTGACAAACACATCATTAACACTATTTCATAGTCAAGGATGTTCACAAAGAGGGGATCTGTTCCCTCCATCTCCCAGGGAGATGGTTTGGACTCAGCTTGGCCACTGAGTGACAGAATGTAAAAGGTTCTTTGCCATAATGGAGACAACTAAGAGTTTTATCTGAAGCTATTTACAAACAATTTCTGTCGAGGCAGAAATTTGGAAAGCCAGAAGTCCTGATCTACTTGACCTTTGGGGCATTTAGAAGGGTGCMGTAGTAGTTACTGAAATCGTGGCACATAAGCAGTGGGAAATTAGCAACTTATAGAGGCAGAAGTAAACACCTCTGAAAGGTCTCTGTTTTCTCAAATGTTGAAAGTTAACTGGGTGTTTTACAAGGATCTGAAGAATATAAAAGCAGTAAAGGACAGRTGTGTGAAAACGTATTGGATAAACTAAAGGAAACTCTACCTCATTCTTCTCTAAAGGTTTTGTAGAAGCACAATTAAGCGCTCCTAATGGCATTGTTTTGTACCGACCATCTGGCGTGAAAGAAGCACTATATTTGTATGTCTATAAATCCTGTAAGAACTGTATTTTGCTGGCAGTAGAAACAGTCTATACTATTTGCAGTTTTCCTCATCAAATCTGTAATTATGCAATGTTTCTGTCTCCAATAAAGGAATTTAATTGGCACCTGTTTGTGGCATGTTATAAAATCATCAGTTGAGTACAGCTAACTAAGTGTAATTATCCAATAGATGGGAGCTGCTATGAAATCAATTCTTGAAGGCTGGATTAAAAGAAAAAAAAGAATTCCTGAATGAAGTGTGGCATGTAAGAACAGCAAAGCAAGACTCAAGTGGCAGACATGCACCTACCCTGCCAAGCCTGGAGGCTGAGCCAGTTGTCTCACTTRCAGTAAAATGCTGGACAAATTAAGCAGCAAAAGTACCTACCTGCTAACCATGTAGTCATGAAACAGTTTTTAATATGCCAGGAYTGTGTAGCAGTGATTGAATACAGCTCCCATTCTAAGGCCTTGGGGGTGATGAAGTCAAGGGAGAGAATGCCAGAAAACAGCTTTATACTTGGAGCACTTACTTCAGCATTTTGAACAGTCATTACTCCAAAGTATGTCAACCAGTGGGAAGCCTTTTGAAGATGGAAAGTAGTGGAAGTGAGTGTCTTTAAAATCTTGACATTTGCCATGTGTGGTGGCTGTATTTACCAAAAACTTGACATATTCCTCCTTTTCCARTGCAGGGAATACTGCAATTAAAAGTAATACTGTTCGATGCTGTGGTAAAGTAAACATCAGGGTGCATTTTCCACCTGGTTTGGTTCTCAGTGACTTCAGAGAAAGCTGGCATGGATACMGGACACTTTAAAGAAGCTGTAGATAGGTAAATACTAAGAGTTATTAATTACTGCWTGGAGAATGAACCTAACATGTCTTTATTCCTGTGTTTGGCTGCTGCTCCTTTCATCCTAAGGGAACCTTTCTTGACTCTAACTCCAGCTTTCAAAACTCACTTATCCCAAGAAGCAGTAAGTTGAGGACTGATCATACAAGATGCTGAGTGGGCTTCACAGACAAATCTGTGCCTTTTAACAAAATTTAAAAGATTTTTTTTTTCCTCCTATTTGAAACATTTTAGTAGCTGGCAATAGCTCTGCCCAATAAAGCACTTACAGCATCACCACAAGCACTGTGTTCTTGGGGCTGGAGAGTACCAATTTTGAGGACTTTGATCCAGGATAGAAACTCCTGTAAAGCTGTGACCAAAAAAACCCTAACCCACAGTTTTAAAATAGTATGGTTAGAGGGCTAAGCGGAAGGAAAGTAACTTGTATTGTGTTCACATGAAGAAACATAAAAACAAATTTGGGGATACCAATATAGGCAGTCAATATTAGAATTAGAAATGCCAGTTTTGAGAGCATATTACCAAAAGCATTGAATTTAAGCATTTATTCTTCCTTTAATTTTGTTCAGTGTTGTCATATTGTGGCATCACAGTAGTGATTTTAACAGCTGCAAAAGAATTACCCTGTCAGCCAAGAAGAGCAAAATTTTCTGTAGTAGCACCTTTGTAAGAGAAAATACAAGAATGTGTAAGATGTGTCTACTCTCCCCCAAGGGAATGATTTTTAATGCCAGGTAAGAGAATGTTTGTCCTGCTTCACCTGCAGGTGATACTGTATTGTACACATACAAATTTGGAGTTTAAAATTCTGAGCATTCAAGGAAATTATTTCAGGACAATCGCTGTTTATTAACACTTCTCATTTTGCACATGACATAATTCTTTCAGAAGGTTCAACTTTGGATTATTTAAGCATTAAGTGGTATTTAGACAATTATCCTTAACTTTGATGGTGGTGTATGTTAACACTTTTTTTTAAGAGTGATGTAAAGAAAAGTCATCCACAAAGTATCCTAACTGAACAGTATTTGTGAGATAAATAGATAAATACTAACTGTAAAGGAGAAACCCACAAAAAAGGTGCTTAAAATGGGCGAGTTCTAACCACAAATGGTAAAATTCACCCACACTTTGAATTTCAATACCACATAAGTAATGTAATATTTTAAGTTGTCTTCTTATTTAGTTAACAGTTACTTGTCTAAGGCATGTGTGCATGTTCACAGCCCACAAGACATAGCCTTTTAAAGAAAAAAAGTGACTAAGTTAATGCTGGTTTTCTCTGTGAGATACCTGAAGTGGCATTTTGTAAATGTTGAGAAGCAGAACAGCCATCCTCAGCACACAGCAAATATTCAGGGAACCTGCAAGGTCTGCCCAAAGGCAGAGGTAGGCAAAGCCCTGATCTAGATGGAGTCTGTGCAGGTGAAGCAGTGGCATCATCTGGAATTGTGTGCTTTGCAGGATTGTTCTGTGTGAGGGGATTGATTTTTTTATCTGTCTTTCATAGATGTACAAATTAAATATGTGCTGGGAGGCCGCCACTACCAGAAACACCATCCRTTGTAAGACAGCTGGGGCGGTTCTGACACCCATTTTGACAGGGATGAAATTAATCAAATGTACCCCAGCACMGTCTGAAAACAGGCTGTGACTTAGCTGCCTTTTAGGGTACATTTACATAGCTCATCAACAAGCAGAGCCAGTGGAAACACCAGTTGCAGCTGAGACTTCAGCTGGTGTTAGCTCTGAACTTAACTTGAGGTGAGTTTAGTGACATGTCGTGAAGAGAACAGCTCCACTCCTTTTCAGCTGCCCTATCCCCAACTTC